TCAGATCTGAATACTTTTAAATAATAAAAACAATCATAAGTTATAAAATTAAAACTATTCATATCACATTTTATCTTGTTTATAATAATTAACAAAATAATCTTGCAACTTGGTAGTAGCAGACATGGTTATTACAAACATCACCCTCTAACACCTTACATATTACATACCACATACACTTACACACACACACTACACACACATTTTAGTTTTTAGAAAATAATATTGTTAAAATGAATATAGAACAATTTGCCTAATTTATGTATATTAAGAACATTAAACTTAAAACTTTGATTTAACAAGCTTTCAATTTTAATAAAAAGTATATTACTAATAAATTTGCAGTTCTTAATAGCTACATTTGAGATGGTAAAGTTATATTGAATCAAATCTATTAACATCAAATTCATTAGTACAAATTCTGACTTCATCTCATCAATTTTAATTATGACTTTTATAATTTAAACATTTTTAATTTCTTCTTTTATCAGGTAAAATCAGTTTTTATTATATAAGTTTTTGATAATATCTCATTTATATTATAAATATATTTAAAAAATACCTAGTAGTATAGTAAAAAATTTTGAACTTGTATAAATCTTGCAGAACTCGCGTAGGTATCAGTAAAAAATTTTTTATCTATGCAGAATCATATAGGAAGCTATGCAAAACTCGTATAAAAGTCTTTCATAAAGTCTACGTAGTGTCTGTGAAATTTATGTGGGATGTAATATCGATTCTATAAAAATTTCTATATAAATTTTACGTGTTACCAACTCTTTGATGCCGGCAATAATATTCTTGTTTTTGAATCTACTCTACTACCTCCACGATCCACGCGGTTCTAATAATTGTATATGATATTTCGTGTGAAAAGATTTACCGTGATCTCTTGATTGTAAGATGACAATAAATTGCTGCAGCTCCCGTTAGAAAATAACCACAAATACTAATAATAGTCAAATGTAACGAAAGAAACAAATGAACTTCAGAAAAGAATTTATTAAATTTACATTTTGTGGTGGATGAATTGATTATTTCAAAAGTACATTGACGCATAACAAGTTTTCAACGAATACCGTAGGAACAATTATTTGTAGAAATCTAGAATTGCCAACGTTTTCTTAAGGAAAATCAGTGATTGCTTTCTGATAATTCAATCTGGACGGTAGAATAGACCTTTTATCTTCTGGGATAGCGTCTAAATGTAATTTAAACAATTCTACCGATTTTCAAAACTAGGTTTATGACTGGATGACCCAATTTGTGACATTCCAATTACTGCCACTCTAATACAGTATAGTCTTGAATTATCTATAATATCCAGGCATATGGAAGTTTTAATTATAGATTTATTACTGTATCATGTAGAATTTGTTTCGATATTATCGAAGATTAAGGATATGCATGCACTTGCTGCCAAATTAATATGGAACATAGGACTGAAAAACTTTCTTTTTAAGTTTTTATTGAATTGAAAAATTATTCATAACCAATTAAATTATTAAATATTAAATGAGGCTGAATATAGAATATGTGATTATACGAATTGCTTACTCCTCAAAAAAGTTCATCTCATCAGCCGAATCCTTCAAGTCAGGTGTAAAATTTATAGAGATTAAATAGCTACTGCATGGAACGCGCGTAAAATACATCAATTTTGGGGATTTAATTACGTAATTAGTCGATCAACCATGCATTTTGTTATGATATAATATCGATATGTTAATTAACGATATAAATTCTATGTTCAAGGAAAAGTACGAAATTTGTAAAATATCAGAAATAACCAGGGTTTACGTCAGAATGTACTTAATGAGATTTCTAACTTTGGTGTAATTTATAAAACAGTCTATGCCGTCAAAAATATTTATGCTACAGTTTAAAGTAGAATATGATTTTTTTTGCACATTTCGCAAGCTTTCGGTTGACCATTTAATGCTGCTAACCTGAGATAATATTCACCTTTTTCTTTATCTCGAGATACTCCAGTTCCATTGAAGTACATGGATCCAACATTATACATAGCCGTTGGGTTTCCATTATCTGCGGATTTCTTAAAATATTCCACGGCTTCTCTTACATTTTTTTCAACACCTTCGCCTTGCCATAGACAATTAGCATAACGAACTTGAGCCTCAGGTAAATTCTTATCAGCTGTTTCTTTAAAATATTGTGCAGCTCGCACTTTTGCCATTTTGCGCTGTTCGGCAGTTTGTTGGTCATTTAAGCTATTATAAAACAAGAAGTATCCGACCCAATATTTTGCAGTGGAATCACCTAAGTTCGCATAGTAGCAAAATGTTTCATATGCTACTTTACGATCACCATTAGATTTATGTATATTGATTGCATCTTGAACAGTTCGAGAAAATAATGGTTTTGGTTTTGGGTTTGGCATCGGAGCAGGTTGTTGAATATTTGGAAGATTTTTCAAAGAAAGATCAAATAATTTTCTAAATATATGTGCAAGAGCTGGACGATTCGTGGGGTCGAAGCTTGTAGCTAATAATTAAAGAAATAAATATTATTAATAAAATATTAATATGATATTAATCTCAAAATTACCTTGGTTAACTATCTCTACCCATTGAATTGGAACTCGTAATGGTGAAGAAAATTGGTCTCGATTATTGTCAAGAATTCTCTGACGGATTGTTACAATATCATTTTCAATATCCTGAAATGGAATCCTTTGTTCAGCTATTTCCCAAAGTAACGCTCCAAAACTATATAATAAAATTAATAACAATAAGAAAAAAAAATCTATAAAATTATTAATAGTCATTTATAGAATTTTTTACCTATATATTTCACACTTAAAATCATATCGATGTTTGCGATTCTTAAGTTTCTCTGGCGCCATGTATCGAACGTTATCAATGCCTTCACGAATACTACTGGTAGCATCTCTTAAACCACGGCTTAAACCGAAATTGCCGATTTTTGCTGTATGTTTCTGATCGTCATTTGTAGTAATAAAAATATTCGAACTGCGAATATCGTGGTGTAGAATATCGGCACTTTTTAAATAAGTCAATCCTCTAGAGATATCTAAAGCGAAATGAATTTGTAGATTCCAATCCAATCTGTTTTCATGATAGAAATCCTTCAAAGTTGATTCGGTAGGCCATTCTGTTACTAGATAAATTTTCTTCAAGTCACGTATAATTCCGTGAAACTTAATTATATTCTCTGCTTCTTTTAATTTTTTAAGGATTGTAACTTCTTTTCTAAGATTATTTTCAGTCTCTTTATCAAGTTCAATCTCTTTGAATGCGACTAAGATATTCCCATTTGTTTCATATTGCAGTATGTCATTTCCCCCCCTGTTTCCGGTATAACGAAAGTGTCGGATATCGAGAACTGCATTTTCGAGTATTTCACCAAAAAGGTCGAAGTTTTCTTTACTTTGGAAAGTCTTATTTAGAGTAGCGACAGTTCCTACTCCATGTAAAATCTTTTGTCCATCTGCAATGCCACCACCGATATTTCTAATATACTAGACAAGCTTAAATTATTTAGCATGTAGTTGTCATGGACCTTTATAAAAATTTGTAATGTATTACCTCTTCCATCTCCCGAATATCACCAGTTATAGCTTCTTCATCTTCAACGACTTGATCGACTTTCAGTTTTCCAAAATTGAGATGGCCTTTTAACGCATTGGTAAGTGCTTTTGTGAATTTTTCAAATTCTTGAATAAATATATAAAATTTTCTATCCATCGAAAATTCGGGGTCTCGATAATCATTATAATATTTAACAACACCTCGCAATTGCGAAATATCGACGACGAAATTTTGTATTTGTTCAATAATTTTGACGAATTCTTGAAAAACTGGATAATTATTCCCGTTTTCAAAAAACCAACTGTAATCATTTTTTAATTGAAGTAAAGTTTTCGCTTCGCCTGTCACGCTATTAATACGTTTAAGTAATACACTAACAACCCTTTTATTATATTCGGCATTTTCGTAACATTCACCAATTTTATTCGCGTATTTTAGAATGTCATTTATCAATGGTGAAAATATTGTAAAATCTGTTGGTGGTTTTTGATTATCGTCATCTTCAAAGTTTAGGCCTTCAATAAGATCATCGCCGTCTTCAGAATTTATAACAAGTCGCTCATCGTCTGCAGGAGGTTTGTTAATACTCATTATTAGTTCAAGAAAGAAAGAAAATATGCACGTTGTTCATTTCATTTTTATTGTTCTTGTACATCATGGAAATTCTCTATAGAATACTCGTGCAGATTAACATGTACATGTATAAGTCACAAGCACATGATGTTGATGTTACATTCAAAAAATACAAAACGCGAAAAATCGTAAATAGATTATACATGTACATGTACAGTCGCCTCAAAAAGTAACGCCCGATTTTCAATTATCATAAAACTTAAAATATAATTTCGATTTATTT